CATGTATGATGTCCTTGATGTCATTCCACATATCATCTGGTCTTCAGTTATTGATGTTTGATGTGTCAGTCTATTCTTGAGATGTTCTCTAAATCCTGGTAGGATATACTCAAGGTCATATTTTAGCTTTCATTGACTATTTAAAATTTTCTTCAGCCTCAACTTGAATTTATAGATGAACAACTTATGGTCTGAACAAAGTCCCTGACCTTGTTCAGACTGATGATATTAAGCTTCTGTATTGTCTCTTTCCACAGATATAGTTGATTTGATTCCTGTGTATTCCATCCAGCAAGGTTTACATGTTTCTAAACCAAGAACTCAGTGCCTTTGAGTCAATTCTGACTCGTAGCAACCCATAGAACAGAGCAGAACTGCACATAGAATTTCCAAGGTTATAAATCTTTAAGGAAGCTGACTGCCTCATCTTTTTCCTGTGGAGTGACAGGTGGTTCAAACCAATGACCTTCTGGTAAGGAGCTTTAACCACTATGCCACCAGAGCTTTTTCCATGTGTATAGTTGCCATTTATGTTGTTAGAAAAGGTATTTGCAATGAATAGGTTGTTGCGCTTGCAAAATTCTATCAGGCAATCTCTGGCATTATTTCTATCACCAAGGCCATATTTTCCAGGTACCAATCCTTCTTTGTTTCCAATTTTGGCATTCCAATCACCTGTAATTATCAATACATCTTGAATGGATGTGTGATCAATTTCAGATTACAGAAGTTGGTAAAAATCTTCAATTCCTTCATCTTTGGCATTAGTGGTTAGTGCATAAATTTGAGTAATAGTTTTATTAACTGGCCTTCCCTGTAGGGGTATGGGTATTATCCTATCATTGACAGCATTGCACTTTAGGATAGACATTGAAAGTTCTTTTTCACTATGAATGCAATGTCATTCTTCTTCAATTTGTCATTCTCAGCATAGATTGTCTGATTCAAAATGACCAATACAAGTCCATTTCAGCTCACTAATGGCTAGGATATCTATCTTCAAGAATCCCATTTCACTTTTGACAATCTCCAATTTTCCTAGATTCATAGGTCGTACATTCCATATTCTGATTATTAATGGATGTTTGCAACTATTTCTTCTCATTTTGAGGCAAACCGCATAAGCAAATTTAGGTCCTGAAAGCTTTACTCCATCCACATCATTAAGGTGAACTTTACTTTGAAGAAGCAGCTCTTTCCTAGTTGTATTTTGGGTGCCTTCCAACCTGAGGGGCTCTTCATTAAGCACTATATCAGATAACATTTCCTTGTTATTTACAAGGTTTTCAGTGGCCAATTTTTTCAGAAGTGGACCTGTCCATGTCTTTCTTCCTAATTTGCCTTAGTCTGGAAGCTCCACTAAAACCTGTCCACCGTAGGTGATGCTGCTGGCATTTGAAATACTGGTGGCTTAGCTTCCAGCATTGCAGCAACACGTAAGCCACCACAGTATGACAATCTGACAGACGTTTCCACTCTAATCCTATCAGAACAGTATTCCTTTCTAACAGATGTAACGGCCTCTTAAAGTTCCAGTCCAGAAACAACTAGAGAATACAAGTATTAAAATGATCCAGTTCTGGGTCTTAATGAGGGGTTTGGCTGCAAAAGTAGGATCTGTCACTGTGAGTAAGGCACAGGGTGAAAAGGTTGAGAATTTATTTATCAGAATTTATCTGAAAATAAAATCAGACTAGAAACAGAATATATAAGCCAACTACCCATCACTGTCAAAAGACTCTTCTTTCTTCTACTATAATATCCTGAACCATCAAATTGAGCATAGCAAAGAAGGAAAAACCCCTAGCAGTACAAGAAGATATCTAATAAAATAGCTTATCAATTTAATTTTGAAAAATATTTTAGAAGTCTGGATGCCTTTCATCAGTTTTGAACCCTGTCAAAATATGGGTTCCATCAGAGGCAGACCCTGAGACAAGGATTCAAGTTCAAGTAGTTCATATGGGAGCTCTGGTAGCATAGTGGCTAAGACACTTGCCTGCTAACCAGATGGCTGGCAGTTCAAACCCACCAGCCACTCCTCAGAAGGAAGGTTGGGCAATCCTACTTCTGTAGTGATACTGCCTCGGAAACCCAAGAAGGGGTCGCTATGAGTCGGGTTTGACTCGACGGCACATAACAACAACAACAACAGTACAGGAAGCACTAGGTGGGACATATGGCCCTGGTACATGGATGGGAAGAGAGGACAGTCTGCAAAGGGCCTGAGAGAAGAGGAAACTGGTCCCATTAGCAGTCACTGGTCCAGACTGGTGGGGTGGAGAGGAAACCAAAACCAGTTGCCTGGAGTTTACCCTGACTCATGGTGACTCCATGTGTGTTAGAGTAAAGCTGTCCTCCAAAGGGCTTTCAAAGGCTGAATTTGCAGAAGTACTTTGCCAGGCATTTCTTCTGAGGTACTTCTGGGTAGACTCGAACCACCAACCTTTGAGCAGCCAAGCATATTGACCATTTGCATCACCTCAGGACTCTGAAGAGGAGGCCCAAAACAAACAAACAAACCCACTGCCATCAAGTTTCCAACTCAGGAAACTTGTGACAGCATAGAACTGCTCCACTGGGTTTTCTTGGCCATAATCTTTATGCAAGCAGATCACCAGGACCTTCCTCCATGGTGTCATCAGGTGAATTTGAGCCATTAACTTTTCAGGAAGTGGTCAAGTGCAAATCATTTGTACCATCTAGGGACCTTAGGCCTTGGAAACCCAAGGAGGAGTCGCTATGAGTCGGGTCCGATTCGATGGCAAATAACAACAACAACAGGGACCTTAGGAAAGGAGGCCAAGGGGTGTTGATTCCTAGGTACTTGCAGCCTGCCTCAAGCAAGAGTCAAGTAGTTTTCCAAGGCTTTGGAGAAAGTAGTTAGGCAAAAGATCCAGGTACTAGCAGTTTACAGGCCTCTAGCATGGAAACAGAAAGGTCGTAGAGTATGGGTGTGGCATTGAAAGCATGGACTATACTGCATCCTCAAAAAGAATAAACTCTATTCCCATTAGCACTTGTATGTATAGCTGATATTCGATTTCCATCTTCTTTCCCTTGTCTCTGCTTCACAATGGACCATATATTTCATATTCAAGTCATCTTCTCCTAAGCCATAAAATATATCATTTTATCTAACCTATGACTTTAGCTTTCCCCTTGAGTCTACTTTACATTCTGTACAAATGAAGACTTTACATCTATTCCTGGGTTTAAAACTCTTTAACATGTACCTCGCTCACAACTAAGTTGTAAAAACAATCTCTCCTTTGGTCCATAATATATCCATGAAAGACGATGGGCTGGATGGAATCACACACAGAAAGTAGATCAGAGGTTACTAGGGCTGAAGGGAGGGAGGAATAGGAAGTAATTGCTTAAGGAGTATAGAGTTTTTGTTTGGGAAAATTCCCAAAACGTTTTGGAAACAAATAGTGATAAAGGCTGCATAACATGGTGAATGTAATTAATGCCACTGAATTGTACACTTAAAAACGGTTAAGATGCATTTACCCGAGGTAGATACATTGCTTGCAAAGAACAATCATAGGAGAAAGAAAGGCTGTTTATGCACAGGGAGACAGCTCAGGGGGCAGGAATGCATGAAGGAATGGACACAGGCAAGAGATAACTATCGGGAGGAAGTGGGAGGGGAGCTGTCGCATTGTGGTAAATTGCGGTCAATGTCATGAGACAAAGTGTATGTGAACTGCTGTATGGAAAGGGAATTTGCTCTGTAAATTTTCACCCAAATCACAATTTTAAAAAAAAAAGGTTAAGATGGAAAATAGTACAAATTTTTTTTAAAAAAAAGATGGGCTGGCCCACACAGCAAGAGCTCAGGTCATGATAGCACTCAGAAGTCTTTATGCTATTAGAGGATAAGAAGCAATTGTGGTAGTTCCCAAAGTACACATTATCACAAAATAATTGGAGGAAAGAAGCCAAATCTAAAACTAATTATAAAGAAGCATTCGCAATGAAATGTCATTTTACTTGCTTTAAATAAATATGGTTTTTAAAAATGGTCCAATTTGGCTATTGACCTTAGGCTGAAAAGGACAGGTTTCAATATATTACTAACCTAGTTCTAGGCCTTACTGTGTATATAGTTGTACATAGTCAAAGAGAGATTATAATATGCGCAGGTAAATTTTACCTAAAACAATCTTGACTAATATAAGCAGCTGACATATATTATGCTTCACAATTTGTATTAAAAAAAATCAACTCAAGGATTAAGAAATAGGGCTGAAACTAAGTATAGCATTTTAAGTTTCTTAGATTAAAGGGACTTAGTACCATTAAGATATTATACTAGACACTGAACAAAGACTGACTGATTTAAGATTCCTTTAAATTCATTAGGTTTTATATTGCCAGATCTATACTTTTAATAAAATCATTACATTTAAGAGAAATAAAAATGAAAAAATTAGACAATTACTGGAACTTTCTTAATGTTTGTGCATTGGGTTTAGGAGGTCCATCTCTGGCTACCCTTCTTTCTTGGCCACCGGCACACTGCTGAATGAGCCTCCTTTCTAGCGGAAGGTGTTATGTAAGCATCACACCACAGTATGAAATCCACTATTCCCTCAAACAAACTGTGCATTATACAATACAATAATTTAAAAAATCAGACATCTCTAATTACAAAAAATTATATATATTAACAGCTGCAACTTTATGATCTAAATCAGTGCTTCTCAAACTATTTGTGATGAAGGAGAAATTTTTTTTTACTATATCCAATCTTATACTAAATATAAGTCCAATTTATTATTATTATTATTATTACTATTAGATTCAACAGACATAAAATTACTCTGTCAAAAATCTGGAATGGTTTCTCAGCATTTATTCTCTACTTCAATACTTATGTTGTCACAGACCAGTGACAAACAGCTGGTGGTTAGTACTGGTCTGGAGACTACATTTTGAGTAGCACTGATCTCAAGAACCAGGCACTTATTTATTTAAAAGATATATATTACCTCTGACATTCTTTCCAAATCCCATTGAAGACACTTTTTTGTCCACTTGTTCATTATTGTTTGATTTCTCTTTCATAACATCATCATCGCCAGGAACATCAACAGAATATTTTTTCTTTTTCCTTTTCTTGTGCCGAGGTGGGAGCTTTTTTGGAAAAGTAAACATTGGGAATATCACAAGAAACATTGCAATGGCACAAAGGAGGAATCCACTCCACCTAAAAAATTGGGAAATGTGAATAGCATTTATGGCTTTTATATTGTGAGTGAAAACAAATTAGCAAAGTAGAGTTTTGAGGTGATAAAATCCTCCAGAAAAAAACTTTATATATTTATCAACTATAAAGCAGTACTGAGTTGGACAAACTAAGAAAATAATGGGATTCTTTCCTTCTGTGGTACAAATGAGAAATTTACTGGTATTATGACAAATACTATCATCAGCAGCCTTGTTAGAATTTCATTCAATTCAATAAGCATTTTTCAGCACCTATGTGTTAGTTCAGTCCTGATTCATGTGTACATTATGAGTTGAATTGTGTCACCCCAAAAACAAATGTTGAAATCCTAACCCCAACATCTACAGTTGTAATGTAAGGTAATGTGATCACCCTCCATAATGATGTTAATGAGGCTAGACTACTGTAAAAGCTGTGTCCTAAACCTAATCACTCTAATTTATAAAAAGAACAGATTAGACAAAGAGACAAGCATATACTGGGGAAGACAGGTGCCATGTGAGGATGTCCAAGGAACCAAGGGGCTACTGATAGAAATGGGATCAACACAGCCGTGATCCTGATTTGGACTTTTAGCCTCCAGAACTGTGAGAAAATTAATTTCTATTCTTTAAAGCCATCCACTTGTGGTAACTGTGTTATAGCAGCACTAGGAAACTAAGTGCATTTTATCATAAATAACTAAATCAGAATTTTAAAAGGCATTCTATTAAACATTCTATCTAAGATTCTTCTCCAAACTCTGCTGTAAATCCTCAAAGTTCATAAATGTTCTGTATAAATATATACTATATGTGTGTGTATGTATGTGTATACATATACACCATGTATATATATATATATATATATATATATATATATACACACACTGCTTCATGGACTAGTATAGACACTTAGAAGAAAACATTAATGTCTTATGTGACTTGTATTTTAAATTGCTGATGGCGTTCAATATTTTGCATCAAGCACTTAAGAATGTATTGACTCTCTTAGGGGCCTATCATAATGCTTAACCAACTATGTGGCTACCAAAGACACTTAGACCTTATCCTTGCCTCTAAGAACTTACAATCTAGCTGTAAGTAAGCCATAAATATATTTTAAAATCTTCAAAAAATTCAAGAATGTATACAATTAAGTGTTAGGTCATATGGAATAGATTATGAATGTTATAAAACTTCAGAGAGGGTAAAGCAATGTGTGTCAGAAAGTCCTAGAGCAGAAGTGGAACTGAAGCTGGGTAGAACTGTGATTCTGTCTTTGAACTCATCTGGAATGATCATGCTGCAGAGAGTTAGGAAGTGAAGAGAGAACAACTCAAATTCTAATCTGGTATTAGAGCCATGTGTTAGGGCTTGGGCTTCTTGACTAAATGATTGCCCACATTCTATTCCGCAGTTCCCTTTCAACCCTTTTTCAATAAGTAGAGGTCCCTGGTCCTATCTAATAGGGTCACCACATTCTAAGATTCCTCTCCAAACTCTACCCATAAACCTTCAAACTTCACAAATGTACAGACACTGTCTTCTGTATAAACATGTTTCTATCAGATGTAACTGAAATGTAACCAGTATTCTAAGCATTAATATTGAATTCAACTCAATAAAAAGAGATCAATTGCAAAGTGAAAATTCACTTTAAAAAAGAAAGTGTTTCAGTGGCATTGAGGAAGAAGAAGACATAGAGAATAGAGAGGTACATGGGAGGCACAGACAGCAAAGATGAATCCTTTTGCACATACAGTACTGCCTTATCAGTGAAGGCAAACAAGGGTATATGGGTGGATAGATGGGTGGACAGGCTGAACTATTAGGTATGTCTATGCAGTGGGAGCTCTGGTAGCATAGTGGCTAAGGCACTTGACTGCTAACCAGAAGGCTGGTGGTTCAAACCCACCAGCCACTCCCCGGAAGGAAGATGGGGCAATCTACTTCCGTAGTGATACTGTCTCGGAAACCCAAGGAGGGGTCGCTATGGGTCGGGTCTGACTCAATGGCACACAACAAAAACAACAACAATGCAGTGGGGAGTGTGCCCAAGACCATGTATAGGGTTGGCAGACAATGTTTCTACAAGTGTGCTGGTATGTTCTGTAAGAATTCCCAGGTATACAGTGGAGCTGACAAGGGCCAAGGTTGTAGTCACTTCTTGGTCACAGCCAGCTCCCCAAAGGGAGCATGTAGTTGTACCTGTGGGTTTGGGACCATAGTCACAGGGGACATCAAGCTCAATTGGCATAACATACTACACAAAAACATTGTTCCACATCCCACTTTAGCAAGTAGCAACTGGGATCTTACAAGCTTGCAAGTGGCCATCTAGATGCAACAATGGGTCTCTCCTTGCCCAGAGCAAAAAAGAATGAAGAAAACCAAACATTCATGGAAACAATTAGTCCAAGCAACTGGTACACCATGCGATCCTCAGCCTATATAAATATGAGACCTGAAGAACTAGACAGTGTCCAGCTACCACTGTCAACCACTCGAAGGGGGATCTATGTTGGAGACCCTGGATAGAGTGGGAGAGCAATGTGGAACAAAACAAAATTATTTAAAAAAAAAAAAAAAAAAGGACCAGGTTTGCTGGTCTGATAGAGCCTGATGGAACTACTGAGACTATGGCCCCTAGCTGCCCTTCAAGTCTGGAATTGAATGCACTCCTATGGCTTCCAGCCAAACAAAAGACAGACATATGAGGTGAACATTTACACTAGGTAGAGACACTCCTTGGAGAGATCAATCATGGGGGAATAGAAGGGCTGTGTATGCACAAGGAGATAGCTCAGGGAGCAGGAGTGCATGGAGGGAAGGACCCAGGGAAGAGGTAACTATGGGGAGGAAGTGGGAGGGGAGCTGTTACATTGTGGTAAATTGTAGTCAATGTCATGAGACAAAGTGTATATGAACTGCTGTATGGAAAATGAATTTGCTCTGTAAACTTTCACCCAAATCACAATTTTATATGTGTGTGTGTGTGTGTGTGTGTGTGTATATATAACAAAAAACATAAAGTGTTTCCATTAAAGTGCTGTTACCCTTTGAGCCAGGCATTAATAAATCCAGTGTGCTATTTTCAGATATTTAAATTCCATGAAATAAATATTTGAAGGTAATCAGAAATAGGTTTTCTTTTGTGGGAGCTCTGGTGGCGTAGTGCCTAAGGCATAAGACTGCTAACCAGAAGGCTGGCGACTCAAAACCACCAGCCACTTCTCGGATGGAAGATTAGGCAATCTACTTCCATAGAGATACTGCCTCAGAAACTCAAGGAGGCATCACTATGAGTCGAATTGACTCGACCACAGTGAGTCTGTTTTGGTTTTTTAGGAAGATTGCTCAGGGCAGATTTCCAGCAATCTCAATTATTCAGAATACAATCACAAACTCAGTGTCTGACAAAGATTAGGTACTCAGTAAATTTGCTGAATAAATGAAATGAATTAGATAGATGAAAAAAGAAAAGAAAGAGGGGGAAGCATCTCTACTCTGTTAACACAGTTAACATCCATGCCCTTTAGAACTTGGTGTGCCTATGAAGCCCTGTTCACCTACTGGTCTTGAATCTTTCTCTGAGAACCCTACATTCAAGTCCTCTGAGACCCCATGAGTTCCCTAGACCTATCATGCTCTCTCCAGAAAGGTGTAGGAAGTGTGGTGTCAGGGACAGTTAGTTCATAAGCTTTGGGCCTCACACATCCCTGGATACCTATCCTGTCTTCACTACTTAATACCTATATGACCTTGGGAAAAATATTTAGCTTTCCTGAACTCCTTTTCTCATCAGAAGGTGGGATAAAAATAACTATTCTGAGTCATCATCAAAATTAAATAAAACAACATATATAATGGAACTAATAAATTGCCTGCCCCAAAATCAACAATCCATTACAGGTGATGAGTTTTGTTTGCAAGGAACCCTGGTGGCACAGTGGTTAAGCACTTGGCTACTAATCAAAAGGTCAGCAGTTTGAACCTACCAGCTGCTCCATGGAAGAATGATATGGCAGTATACACCCTTAAAGATCTAAACCTCAGAAATTCTATGGGGCAGTTCTACCCTGATGAACAGGGTCACTGGGAGCTGGAATTGACTCAGTGGCAACAGGTGTATGGGTAGCTTTGTCTGCTTTTGGTTTTATGCTTATCTGCACTCAGGCTATACCCAGGAACTATCAACATAAAATTATATGCAAACATTAAAGATACTCTCATAATAGTCCAAACTGAGAATATATAGCAGAGGAAGGGGAAAAATTATAGCAAGTCAGCAAAAATATTATAAAAGCTGAGCTCTGGTAGCATAGTGCCTAAAGCACTTGACTGCTAACCAGAGGGCTGGCAGTTCAAACCCATCAGCCACTCCTTGGAAGGACGGTTGGCCAATCTATTTCCATAATGATACCGCCTCGAAAACCTAAGGAGAGGTCACTATGAGTTGGGTTTGACTCGACAGCACAAAACAACAAAACAACATGTTTGGGATCATTTTGAAGCAAAGAAAACAAGCCCACATTCTTCAACAGTCTCTAGGAACATCACATGATGTGATGGTGCTAAGGAGGATGCTAGGAAAAGCCAAGTGAGAAGAGAAAGTGTGTATTATATGTTGGAAAAAGATATACCAATAATAGCTAAAATTGAAAATGAGGATACTTAAATCCCTTTTATAAAGCATTACTTTCAGATCATTCACTAAAAAGGGTTATTTAAGTGTATCAACTAAGAGCTTGGCCTTGGAGTCAGCCTCCTATTCCAGCTCCTATTGACTGTGAGGCTTTGGACAAGTTATTCAAATCCTAAAGTACCAATTTCCCCATCTGCAAAATGGACATAATATTAATAACTACAGATGTTTGTCATAAGGCGTATATATAAGATATCTGTTAAGTTCTTGGTATGTACCCAATAAATATTAACATTATTCGTTCATTCCTTCTTTCACTCTTTCAGCATGTATTTACTGAAAACCTATCCTTACTGCTAGGCATTATATAAAATAACATTATATCAAATACCTATGCCACTGTTCAAGGGAGAAGTCTGTTATAAACAGTGCTTCTCAATTCTTAAATGGAGTCCTGTTTATATTTCTATATTGTCAACTTTTATCATTTGCAGAAAAATATTAGGCCATTAAAATCAGTAAAATTATTTGAACACTGATTAAACTCAAAAGATGGAATAAAAGCTAATACATGCTATGGAGTGGGAAATATTTACAGCTCTACATGTATATACTCTTTTATTTCTCACAGTAGCCCTATAAAATATATACTTCCATTTTATGAATTTAAAAAAAAAAATCTGAAACACAGAGAAGTTGAATAATTTCCCCAAAGTCACACAGCCAGTAAGTGGTAGGTAGAATCTAATCCAAGAGGAATTTGGTTCCTAATCATCCCATTTTGCTCTCCATTGGATTGATGTCCACTAGAAAACTTTTAAAAGCCAGCATGTTGTTGTTGTTGTTATGTGCCGTCGAGTTGGCCCCGACTCATAGCGACCCCTCCTCCTTGGGTTTCCGAGGCAGTTATCACTACGGAAGTAGGATTGCCCAACCTTCCTCCTGAGGAGTGGCTGTTGGGTTTGAACCGCCAGCCGTCTGGTTAGCAGACAAGTGTCTTAGCCACTATGCTACCAGAGGTCCCAAAAGCCAGCATAGTGCACTTGTAACACTAATGCTCCAGCCTTCCTTCCTTCTTCCTGCCCCTGAGGTGGTCCTCCTCGCCTTTCTCTCTCTCATTTCAGACACTGCTTTATCTCCATGCTCTTCCCATGTACATCTATGTAGAATGCAGAATATTCATTGGATGTTCATAGATATATTTTAACAATCTTATTTTCTGACAAGAAAAAAAAAAGTCCTTATTCTTATTTAATTCAGAACTGAAAAGAAAACAGTAGCTGAGACCAAAAATTTCACTATTAGTCAAGAACGTAAAATTCCTGTGTTAATCCCCTAACTCTGACAAGGGAACTTCCTTTCTGCGAGATTTGAAAATTCTACCAGGCCAGTCTCATGTAGATCTTAGCACTCGCATCTTCCAAGGGAGTTGCTTAGGAAAATGAGAAGTGTTGTATAATCTAACTGATATTTGTTAAGTGCTTTGAAAATCATATTAAATATTATGTCCATCAACCTGAGAGTACTAAGGTTATTTTCCTATAATGAAATGCAGAGAGAACACAAGTACTCTAAAAAAACTCCTGAAAAAGTAATTACTTTTTACACATACAGTTACACATACAATTTTTTAATATTAAAGTATTCTCTTTGTTATAAAATGAAATGTTTCTTATGAATGCATGTTGTTGTTGTTATATGCTGTCAAGTCGTCTTCGACTCATAGCAACTCCTTGTTGGGTTTCCAATGCAGTATCTCTATGGAAGTAGATTGCCCAATCTTCCTTCTGAGCAGTGGCTGGTGGGTTTGAACCACCAACCTTCTGGTTAGCAGTCAAGTGCCTTAGACACTATACACCCAGATCTCCCTCTATTACTAATTCATGTGAAAAGAAGTCAATACTTCAGTTGATGAAAAACTAGCTTATGTTCAATTTGAGAATTATTAAGTATTTAAACACTGCCCTAGTTATTTCAATAAGTATCATACCATCCAGAGTGAGTTTGAGTTCTGTGTCCTAAACATTACTTTTAGCAAGACAATTACAGTCTAGTAAGTGAAAGGACAGCTAAGTCCACAGCACATGTAGGGAAAACAAAATGTTGCCAATTGAAAAAATTCCATAAGAGTGTGGTAATGGGAAGGTCAGGATAGAGTTCTGGGCAGCAGGAGAGGGTAGAGAAAGTAGAAATGCAAATGTAATAAGAAAATGAGAAGAAGAAAAAAAAATTTAATTGTGCTTTAATTGCAAACTTACAGAGCAGACTTTTACATTCAACAGCTCCTGTACATTTGGTTTCACTCCCCGATTACCATCCCCAACCTTAACCCACTCTCCTCCTCTCCCTTCCCAGTGACCCCTCTAACCCTGTGTGCTTCTTAGTTATTTACTCCTATCTGTCCAGCTTTTCCTCCGTGTGAATGTTGCCCCATGGCCAATTGTTCCAAAGGATGGATCTCCATAGAGTGGGTGAGTGCATCTCCCTGGATCGACTGTTCTACATGTAAGTCTTATTACTGTTGGGCTGAAAGTCAGCCCTTAGGAGTGAGTTTTATCCCAGGCCAAAAGTGTATCCCAAGGCCATAGCCTTGGGGGTCCCACCAGACTCCATCTGACCAGTAATTCTGGTCATTATTTCTTTTTGAATTTTGTTCCATGTTTTTCCTCCCACTCTATCCAGGATCACCAGTTTTGATCCCAAGAAGAAATATGTGTAGAGGCACAGAGAATACAATGGAACACATGATTAAAATAAACAGGAAAATACCCATACAGCTACATTATAAACACCCCAATCCTAGGATTACAAATTGAGGAGATATACCAAATCTGCTGTATTAGTTCTTTTTGCTGCTGTAACAAATTACCACAAACTCAGTAGCTTAAAACAACATAAATCTATTATCTCATAGGAGGTCAGAAATCTAAAATAGATCATGTTGTTGTTGTTGTCCTTATGTGCCGTCCAGTAGGACCCGACTCATAGCAACCCCTCCTTGGGTTTCCGAGGCAGTATCACTACAGAAGTAGATTGCCCTATTTTCCTTCTGAGGAGTGGCTGGTGGGTTTGAACTGCCAGCCTTCTGGTTAGCAGTCAAGTGCCATTTCTTCTGCAGGCTCTAGGAGAGAATCCATTTCCTTGCCTTTCTAGTTTCTAGAATTCACTTATATTCCTTGACTCATGGCTCCTTCATCCATCTGAAAGCACATCCCTCCAATTTCTGCATCCATCATCATATCTCCTTCTCTGACTTTGACTCTTCTGCCTCCCTTTTACCCTTGTGATTACATGGGCCCCCCCTGGGGAAGCCAGGATATTCTGCATCTCAAAATCCTTAATCACATCTGCAAAGTCCCTTTTGACATATAATGTAACATTCACAAATTCTGAGGATTCAAACACAGATATCTTTATAAGGATTATTACTATGCCTACTACTCTCTCCTTGGGTGACTTTTAACTGTTTTTCATTTCCCCATTGGGGAAATTTTATTGTAACTATAAGGTATATGGCTGCATTATTAGTAATAAGCAAAATGGAAAAATTAGAAAACAAATCTTACCAGTTTCCAATGAAACGAGGGTCATTCTGGTCGAGATAAACAGGATTTCTGGGGTCAACATAAAAACCAATAAGAAGTCCACCTAATAAATATCCCACTGCAGGACCAAGTGCTCCCATGACATACATGATGGCTGGAAAGACAGAAGCAAAAACATGAAATACGGCAATGTTTTACTTAAATCTCAATTGTTCTCCACTTTCATACATATCATACACGTGTCACAGTTAAATCCAAGCAACACCTTCCAAAAATGGGGAACCTGGTTGTGTCTATGTTGACATTTGGGTTTCAAACCTTGCCCTTCATTGAACTGTTGGCTGTTATCTTCAAAGAGCATCACAATCATCTAGAGAACTTTTTGTGGCTTTTGTTTTGTTTCTTAACATAAATGCTAATCAAAACTCACCCCAGACCTACTAAATTCTAATTTATGAAAGTAAGTTAGAGACCTCAGCTAGTGAATGAGGGAGTCATTAAAAAACCAAGAGAAAGGAAAGGGAAAGTTCTAGATAAAAGAAAAAAAGTCGACATAATTTGTCATAACTAGATGATTCTAGTAGTATAAGGGAACACATGGCCAGATTTGCCCACTGAAGCCAGATTCAGTTAAATTGACAAAGCTGCTTAAGTTGCCTTCCAATCACCAATATTTCAGTGACTTCAAAATCAAAGAAGATCTTGCAGTATATTTGGTTTATTGTTAATTGAGGAATCTTATTTAAAGATGAACAAATCTCCCAAAATGGCACGGATGAGAAGCTCTAAATGAAAAGCACCGACCCACAGCTGTATTAGAAAATAATTTTTTAATGTACATATCCAAAGTGAGGGCATGTGGAATTATGTGTTTTTCTGGCAGTGGATCAGAAAGGTTGTCATTCTACCTAAAATAGTTTGTCATATAAATGGGATTATGTCAGAAGACACATAACAACAAATCCATTAGCAATCCTTAATATTTTTTTATATTCATTGCTGTGATTAAAAATTCTACAATAAATAATATTTTGTAATCTTTCAATTTTGAGATAGGATATAGATTTCCTTGAGAGTCACAGAAAAGTTTAGCAAAATTCACAACTCATGTTTTCCCAAGGTGCTCCTGCGTGCAAAGCATGATAATTGCTAAGGTTTTAAGTGTTTCTCGTTTCTATTATAATCATGCCTTTTAATCACTGAATAAATTGTTGTTGTTGTTGTTGTTATGTGCCGTCGAATCGGACCCGACTCATAGCGACCCCTCCTTGGGTTTCCGAGGCAGTATCACTACAGAAGTAGATTGCCCCATCTTCCTTCTGAAGAGTGGCTGGTGGGTTTGAACCACCAGCCTTCTGCTTAGCAGTCAAGTGCCTTAGGCACTATGCTACCAGAGCTTATCATATCCTTTAAATAGTACTATCTACCTATCTATACGGGAGCTCTGGTAGCATAGTGGCTAAGGCACTTGACTGCTAACCAGAAGGCTGGCAGTTCAAACCCACCAGCCACTCCTCGGAAGGAAGATGGGGCAATCTACTTCCGTAGTGATACTGCCTCGGAAACCCAAGGAGGGGTCGCTATGAGTCGGGTCCGATTTGACGGCACATAACAACAACAACAACAACAACATCTATCTATATATCAGAAAGGAAATGAGAATAATCAGAATAGTTTACTTAACTTTATCATCTGCACCTTATGAATTGAAAACTCTTGTACCTCCTGTTTCAAAAGAGAAGGTGCAGGGTTATTTTACAGGATCATCTGATTATAACAATAACGCATTTGGTCCTATGACTTCTCCATCGGAAATGGAACTCAGCCTCAAGTAATTGGTATTCTTTTGGAAGCATGTTTTTAGTAAAATAAAATTAGAATTATGATAAATATCTTGTTAACCTCTCTGTTTGTTGCCTAAAATGTAACTCAAGAATAGAAAGTACTTCTTCCCTTACAGGTATTCCCATATGCATTTGAAAATGACATTTCTTTTCACACCTCCAGGCAAACCAGCACCACTTACAACTTAAAACTGTAATGAGGCCAAAATGTGACATGAATCATCTTCCCAAAATACTTCTCTGGCAAGAAAGAGTTGGCTTACAAACACAGACAAGGAAAAGGGTATTTCCACCATACTGTTTATGCCTGGGGCACTTCAGTACAACATCTTAGAGTGCCAAGCAGAATTGTCTAGTATGCGTCCTGGCAAGATAACACAGTTATCCAGTGAATGGAAAATTCATTAAATACCATTCACTAAAAAACTTTAACTACTTTACAAAATGTAAATAAAGGTTTTAAAAATACAGTAAGAAAAATGTATTTTTATTATTAGCCAGCACTTTAATTCCAACATCATTGTCATTAGCAGGATGAATGGATAGATAGATAGATAGATAGATAGATAGATAGGGATAGATAGATACATATACATATGTATACATACATACATACATACATCCACTCACAGAGCACAGAGTTTTTTGACCTGGTTCCTTGTATTGAATAAATCATTCTCTGGGAGGATGCCAAAACTTTCTGAACACTGGGTTAACATTTATTAGTTTATTAACCAATGGCACTCATTCAGAGATTGTTAGAAGAGTTAATTGGTGAAGCAAACTCATACCACTCACTCTCCCAATCATAAACTCCCAATCATTCCCCATGGCCTGAAGAAAAATGTTTCAACTACTCTACTTGGCATTCAGGCATGAGCTAAACTGGCCTCTGGCAACCATTCCAATCCTAAAACCCACTGCTATACTTATGCTACATACCCATGATGCTCAGAACATGCCTGTGGCAGAACCACTTCTCTTCTCTCCTCATAGTGTCTTCCCTGGCCTCTTCCACCTATCGGAATCCTATTCATTCTTCAAGGCCCAACCAAATGTAACTTGGTCATCCTCCCCGAGTGGTCTCTCTCTCCTCCAAATCCTTGTAGACTATAAATTGTCTATTTCAGTGGCATCACATCTTTCACCGTGCAATCCCATAGTATTTACCCCATGGATGTCTTCTCTGTATAAATAATGTGAAGGTACTACTAGCACCTCTCTCACAGATCACATCTTATGAATTGGTAAACTGTGTTGGTTCTACCACCAAATCATATCCAATATCCAACCCTTTCCCGCACCTCTATTACTAACACCCTGGTCCAAGCTATGACCATCACTCATCTGGATAATTGTTCTACCCTTCCAACTGGTATCCTTACTTCTACCCTGACTTCCTACAAGTTTTTATCAACACAGAAGCCTGAATGATCCTCTTATGTTCACTTCTTTGTTCACAGTCTCAGGGGCTTCCCAACTCAGTCACAGTTTAAGCCAAAGTCCTTACGTGTCTACAGATCCTGCTATGCATTAGTGGCCCCCATCCCCATCCCATTATCTTTCAACATCATCTCCTGATTCTCCTACTTCCTCTCTATTCCGGCCATACTCACCTCCTGTCTTCTTGGACATTGCAAACATGTTTCCAACCTTAAGATGCTAGCACCTGTGCTTCTTGTTCTCTTCTCTTCTCCTCTCTTTTTCCTTCTCTTCTCCTCTCTTCTTTCTTCTCTTCTCCTCCCCTCCCTTCCCTCTCCTCCCTTTTCACTCTCCCTCTCCCTCTCTTTCTTTCTGTATGTTTGTGTGTGTGTTGAATGATCTTCCCCTAGATAGTCACATGGTTAATTTCCTTACTTCCTCCATGTAGTTCTGGGAGCTCTGGTGGCAGAGTGCCTAAGGCATTTGACTGCTAACCAGAAGGCTGGCAGTTCAAACCCACCAGGCACTCCTTGGAAGGAAGATTAGGCAATCTACTTCCATAAAAGGTTCTGCCTCGGAAACCCAAGGAGGGGTCGGTATGAGTTGGAAATGACTCGATGGCAGTGAGTTTGGTTTTTTTGGTTCCACGTAGTTACTCATGTTCCTTCTCACTGAGGGCTTATTTGGCCACCCTATGTAAAAACTGAAACCCTCTCTGTAATTCTTCATTCCTTTTTCCCTGCTTTTTCTTCATAGCAGAGGTCATCACATAATACAGTATATATTTCATTAGTTCATTTTGTTTGTTATCTGTCCTTCTCAACTGGAATATAAGCTCCTCGAGGATAGGGATTCTTGGCAGGGTCTTCATGCTGTATCTCCATAGCCAGGTGGTGCTGCCATGTAGGAGGCACTCAGCACACATTTACTCCCATTACTCTCATCATTCCCACTGAGTCAATGAGCATTCTATTGTCATTAACTACAAGAGACGTTAATGATGAAACTTGTCCTTGGTGTAGATCGTCTCTTGATATTAACTAACAACAGCAGATGCCAATCCATACTTCAAATAGTGAATTTGAGCATTTCATACTCTTTGACTGTGTCTCATCAGATTGGTTTTCTTTCTTGATGAAGAGTTTATACTGGTAGTTCAGGCTATTCAATTAATTATTAACATGAGCATAAATAGAAGATCTAATCTTTTCTTCCTAGAACCCCAGTGGATTGCCTTGTATCCCTTCCCCAAAGGTGTGCACACTCCCCTTTGAGAGAAATGGACCATTCCACTCATTTGAGATTAACTATACCCTGCTTTTTATTTCTATTTCCCTTATCAAATATGTATATCTTGAGAGTTCCAGTAAGATGGCAGAATAGGCAAAAAGACTGCACAGACCGTCTTCAACAAAGAAAAAGGGAACAAATTAACAAAGATACAGTAGATAATCCTGGACCCCTGAGCTTTAAAGGGAAGGATATAGAAGTGGACTAAACTCTAACTAGCAGAAGAATTTGCAGGAAAATACCAAAAAAGGAGACATAGGGAGATGTGGTCTGGCAGCAATCCTGACAGCACAGAAAGCTTGGATATTGCCAAGTGGTGGTAGGACCTAAGAATTAACCTAAAAATCAGCCCTACTAGCCAGGGACTGCGTGGAGGACTGCTCTAGTGGCTGGGGAATAAAACAGGAAGCAGCAAAGAAGAAGGCGGGCTGAGCTGTGGACTTTTGCCGTCCAGAGGGTGCAACCATTTTGAATGTTTACAAGCAGCTTGACCATTTTGGATATTTAAAGCAACAGCATTCTGCCAGATTCCGGGACTTAAGAACAGGTTCCGCTTGCTGGGAACCGCAAGGACATTGTGGACGCGCACACTACTGAA